CAGCTGACGTCTCACTCCTGACTGCTGTATGCAGCACTCAAAAGCTGAACTTCAGGTACTTTGAGGAGAGGTGGAGGTGTGGGGCAGTGGGAAGGTGGTACATCCTTAGTAGTCACTGCTTTTCTTTGGCTTGTGATCTCCTGTGCTGGCAGGCATGGGGCAGACCTGGCTTCCAGTGAGACAGAGGAGTTGAGTGAAGAGCAATCTCGACTGCAGTCTTCAGTTGAGCTGAGGCCCGAATCTTTTGCCTTCAGTTGTGTTGTAAGCTGCAACTTGGACTTGTGTCATGTATGCTAAGCATAAAGAACCAACATAGGGCTGGCTGGCTGCCGGTAGACTGATCTTACAGTGCAATTGGGAGGCTTACTGACTCAGTATGCATCATTTTTTCCTGATAGCTCCTCAGCACTCATTTAAGCTGCTGTTTATTTTATGTGTTTTACAGCTTGGAAGGATTTCTTTCTAGCAGGATTTTAGATTGCCCATGTCATCTTGGCTGTTAGAACTTTATTATAATTGTTTGTTGTTAAATGTGTTTATAATTTGTGTTGTCTAATCTCTTACTTCAAAATGAGTACTGAAACCTGCAAGTTTCTTTTAAGTCCTTAGGAGCATTCCCTGAGCACCACTAGGTTCTGGGCAATGAAAACCAGCATCCATATCTGCCTTTCCCCACCTTTAATAACAGAAATAGATGTAGCACAGCTTTTTTTGCAGCATCTTTGACCCCAGCTGTCTTTGCTGTTTGAAAGCTAGTCATGATCACTGTAACATGATCTCCTGAAAGAAGGTTTTTTCATTGGACCAGAAGTTTTAAATGTATGGGCAAGACTTTACAGAATCCATAGAGCTGGACAAAAAAACCCCAATAATGTATTTTTATGTATTCCATTCCTCTAAGAACAGTACACTGGTGGATATTTATCCCAGACATGTATTCAGTAGGAGGTTTCCTGGAGTGAAAATGCATTAGAAAGTGACTCCTCCAGTTTCTTTTCCCTAAAATGTTTGTTAGCCTTTTCCAGGGCTGCCATAGTTCTGCTTTTGTTTTTTAAATACATATTGCTTTTTTGGATTGTCCAGGCCAATACTAGATGTTCACATCTCACATTCAGACACCAGGAGGTGTTTTTGCCAGTATACTTAGGCGAGAGGGGGCTTACTCAGCCTCAACAGCCTGCGAAGGTGTCAGTGAGAGCTGGGAGGTGCTCGATTAGATGCTGAGGGTGACATAGGTTAATGATGATGGAGATTTGAGTGTTCATAGTGTGTGGCCTGGGGCGAGACAGGTTAGGAGTTGAGGACTGGGAAGCAGTAGAGGTAAGCACGGGATTTGTCCCCTACTTGGGCTTCTCTTAGCAAGGCCGTTGTTTCCAAGAGAGAATGCACACAAAGGGCTGCGCTGCTCCCCAGTTCCTTTGCTCTGTCCTTGTTGCTCCTTTCACCATGATAAACCTGCATAGATCATTGCACCTGGGTATCGGTGATTGTCTGCTCTGGCACAGAGCTTTGCTCATATAGATTAAAGTAGCTGTAAGCTATAGAGAAGTGGTTAGAGAAAACTTGGGGTGAAATGTGTTATGTTATTGTTGACATACAAACTAACAACACTTTATTATTATTATTTTTTAAGATTTACTAAACTGAGTCTTGCAAGATTCAGTAGATGCTGAACAACTTAAAAATTTTATTTTACAAAAAATTACTGCTTCTTAAAATAAAATACTTGGGTTTTGCTTCTATGTGCTCACAGAAGGTTCTTTGATTGTCCTAAAATGAGCTGAATTTTTCCCTCTAGGAAGTTATTTTAAGGTGGTTTCACTAATAGCTAAAAATTTCATTTAGAAACACTTAAAAAAAACAAGCAAGTTTGTACTTAAGCCTGTGTTTAACTTCTTGTAAGTTCTTGTCATACATTGCTGAGCTCTGGTTGTACTCTGCTTAGGTTTTAAAGAAAATTCCACTATCAGACTAGTATGAATCCATATGCATGCAGAGAGCAGTATCAATGGTTGAAAGTTTCCCCTTCTGATTCCTTTCCCTAATTATAAATATTTCTCTTTTTTTTTCTTTTTTTTTTCTTTTTTTTTTTTTTTTTTTTGTAATGGTGTAAACATATAATGCATAACATGTCTAGTCTGGAGCAGTTTAGTATTTGGTGATTTATGGTTTTATTGGTGTAAAATAATTTTAAGATTAAGCATGCTCCAGAACTTAGTTATGCCTTCAGTTGCTGATACTGTAAATGTCAGTATTTTTCTGGTCATTCTAGAACTAACATCTAAAGCTGTTTCCCACATTGCCAACTAAAGAGTTGTCATGTTTATTTAACCAGCTCCATCTGGCTTCCAACAAGTCCCAGATTTCTGTTTTTCACAGCTGTGCATGGATTCCTGCCATGCCCACAAAACACAGAGAAAAATTCTGCTAAGCTAGGTTTTGTTTGTTGGAAGAAGTGTCCTTTTTGCAGAAGAGGGGATTAAATATTTTTCAGATCGTGCCCTACCTTGCAGATTCTTCACTCCTGAGAGGAGAAAATACAAATTGTCTGGCACAGTCCTACTGCTGACATCATTGCATGTGGAAAAGGTTTTTTGGTGGTATTTTTTTGGGCCAGGCTGGAGATGATGAGCTCAAACAGCTGTAGCAGCCAGTGCCAAACTCTTAGCCACCGGCCAGCCATGGGACCAAGAAGGTGTGGATCCAGGGTACCACCTCAAAGCCCGCAGGAAGAATCACTGCCCTTGGCCTCCATGCAGCTGTTTGGAGCATCAGGTTCAGAACATGGCTTCTGCCCTTGAATAACAGCATCCTCAGCCTTGCAGCCTGCTGTGTACACTTACTTTGTTAATAACCTCCCTGCCACAGTTTAAAAAAAGAACAGGAAAATCTTTCGTACAGTCTTTCTGCAGGTGTGTCACACCAGAGGGGAATTTCTCATGCTCGTGTCTGAGAGCTCATACCAGGACCTGCAGACAGGAGATGCCAGATACAGGACAGCCTAAATGCAAATTAAGCAGAAAAATACAAATTTTAAAGTAGAGAGGTACTGGTAACAGAGGAAGTATTTTCCAGGCGTTTGCAATTAAAAACACCCACTGAAATTGTTAAGAAGTAGTTGTTAGAAGTTGAATGAAGAAAAGTTACACATAATTCTTTGATTTTAGGAATTCCAAATGTTAATTATAATGTAAAACACATCCCAACTTTTAATTTTAAAATGCAATAATATTTTTTCCCAATCTGCTAAATGATCTGATATTTCGACCTGCTGTGTACACTTACTTTGTTAATAACCTCCCTGCCACAGTTTAAAAAAAGAACAGGAAAATCTTTCGTACAGTCTTTCTGCAGGTGTGTCACACCAGAGGGGAATTTCTCATGCTCGTGTCTGAGAGCTCATACCAGGACCTGCAGACAGGAGATGCCAGATACAGGACAGCCTAAATGCAAATTAAGCAGAAAAATACAAATTTTAAAGTAGAGAGGTACTGGTAACAGAGGAAGTATTTTCCAGGCGTTTGCAATTAAAAACACCCACTGAAATTGTTAAGAAGTAGTTGTTAGAAGTTGAATGAAGAAAAGTTACACATAATTCTTTGATTTTAGGAATTCCAAATGTTAATTATAATGTAAAACACATCCCAACTTTTAATTTTAAAATGCAATAATATTTTTTCCCAATCTGCTAAATGATCTGATATTTCGACCTGCTTTTAGTAAGGATGTACGCTGACCCTCAGTTCTATCTTGACTGCTTGTTGAGGGCTGGAGATGGTCAGGGGATGAGTCTCAGCAGATGGGGGAAGGTGAGCAGCACCTGATGGAAATGCAGGGAGCAGCAACCGGGCTCCCTAGCTGCCTCCTACCCTGCTGTGCATGCAGCAAATGCAGACACATCCATGTGCAATGTCATGCTCCAGATCTGAATTGCAGAGGTGTATCAGGGTGCTGGGGAAGGCACACTTGAAATAGCACGTTAAACAGGCACAGAAAGGACAGAAGACAGCATTCATGATGATGAACTGCATTTTTCTTGTTTAATGGTGTTTACTACATGTGTGGATTCAGGCTAGCAAGAGAACAAACCTGCTGCCCTAGCAGACAGAGTGGAGCATGCATCCCTGGAAAATACAGGTAGAGATTGATTTAGTTATATGAATAAAATACGTATGTGGTATTTAAGGCAAAGAAGTTGCTCTGTTGAAAATTGAGTCCAAAATGAATGTCTTAAGATGTATCTTGGTACTCTAGAATTATGAGTCTTCTTTGGTTAGGTCTGGTTTTGGTTAACTTGCTTTTTGTAAGATGCATGTGCTTTAATCAGTTATTTGGAGAAGGACAACTATCAGTACTTTTGCTCTGTTTTTCTTCTAGCTGTTACAAGACTTTGTTAAGCCCACCTGGATTTCTGCAACTTTGCAAATAAACTTTTAGATTCTGTAGTACCCAATAATTAGTTTTGAGGTATCTGTAGTGTAGAAGGGGAATGCCATATTGCCAAGATCTTGTATATTCTGATGTGCTTTTGACATGCACAAAGATTGGGAAAAGTGTTGTTTCTCAAAGTACACTCTCTTAACAAAGTTAATTTTCTGGTGTTTATGTAGGCATAAATAGATCTGACTAGGTTTATTGTACTTATGATTTTTTCCCACTTACTGGCGTATTTATCAGTTGTTCTCTGAAGAGCAGCACTGGATTTTTAAGATTGTGAAACTTTTTTTTTATGTTTTGCTAACTATTGCAAAAATTGGAGTTTTAACCTTAAAAAAAATGTGGGTTTTAAAAAAAATATTCAGTCTTCTGTGATTTTTAAATTAAAAAGCTTTATTTTGTTCCTTTTCATTCATATATATATGTATATATATGCACACTTATAAATGCATTTAGATTAAGCCCTATACAAACCCTTGTTGTTATTAAATCACTTGTTGAAGTGCAGTAGTGAGTCTACATTGTCCTCACAGCTAAACTATTTTGTTTTGTTCTTTACACAGGTGCCCTTACCAAAGTAAAGGAGAGTAAGCGGCATGTGGAAGAGGGGAAGATGGAGCTCCAAAAAGCCGAGGGCATTCAAGAACGCTGTAACATTATTTCTTTTGCAACCCTAGCAGAAATTAATCATTTCCACAAAATTCGTGTGAGGGACTTTAAATCACAGATGCAGCATTTCTTGCAGCAGCAAATACTCTTTTTTCAAAAAGTGACACAAAAGCTAGAAGAAGCTCTTCACAAGTATGACAGTGTTTAATCTCTGAACTTTGCTTTGTGGACTTCCCTCAGCGTGAATGTGACCCAGGTGGCAGAGCAAACGCTGCTGCTGCTGAAGAACTGTTGCCAGTGGTTGACGGTGGTACAAGGATGTTTTTTGTTCACCCGGAACCCTGGTTTAATCTCCAGTTATGTAGAAAGGAAACAGTTATAGGGCTATGTAGTAGAAACATTACCACGCATTGTAGCTAAGTTATACTGTATATGCCTACACTACCATTGTAACTTTTTTGAAATAATGAGTATACTATTTGCCTTATTGCTTTTTGAAATGCGGTATTTTAGTGCATACTTTGTAGACCTCAAAACCCTTTGGGTCTTTAAGGAAGCTGGCTAGATAAAAGCCTGCTTCAGATGCCTTTTCACTTTCCTAGTTTTGGATTTCCTAAATTCAAACGATTCTCTGTTTACAGACTCCTACTAGAGCAGCTATGTGATTCTGTGCCTTTAGACTCTATTTTTCCTTTTCTAGTAAGTCACATTTTTATGATTGAATGAATGAAGAAGGGTTGATGCCTATAATGGAAACTGATTATGAAACCTCACATTGACTGGAAAAAATCAGCTGCCATCACATTTGCACAGCAAGTACTGTCTAATGACAGCTGTTAGTTTAGAAAGGAGAAATGTATTCACACTTTCCTTGAAGATGGAGACTACTTGCTACATGTACTAAGTTGTTAAGCACATATAGAAAAATACACCACTTAATTCCCTTTCCAAAATGAATAATACAGTGAGGGGTTTTTTTGGTGTTTTTGTTTGGTTGGCTGGTGTTTTTTTTTTAGCATACAGCATTACTGTGCGTGGAAACTTGAAGAGCTAACCTAATAAAAAATATGTATAACAAGGGGATATGAATCCAAGCTATATAGCTGGAACATTTTTTAAGTTTGAAGTTACGTGCTCTTTGGTCAGTTCCTGATTCAGTTTAACGTCAGACTTGCATCTGCATTGCCAGTTGTCTGAGTTGAAACTCCACTGTGATTCATTAGTTTACTAAGTTACAAATTTTCAGGGATGTTCACTAATATAAATGATCTAAAATAAGACTTGGCTGAACTGACTTGGAGAACAGGTGGCATTTTTTATGTTTGTAACACTCAAGAATTAACAATTGTCTTAATTTTTGTATGAATATTTTTGACAAGCAGGGTGCATTTATATATATGTAAACAATATATTTTAAAGAGTTTTCTGGCTTATTTCCTTTGAATTAAGTCTGAAGTCTGTGTTTCTTATCTATTAATTTCCTTCTTATAGGTCAGTATGAAAGGTTTTTATTTATCCTATCTTTTTTCTCCTAAAAAAATAATTAAACCTTCCAAGAAAGCAACATATTTACCTTTTTGTTTTAAATTAAATTAATCAAAAAGACCTTAAACAAATGAAAGCCTGGAAAAGGAAGTTAAGCAACAATTAAGTACAAATCATTCCTTACCTACGCAGCAGAAATGTGCAGTTCTTTTGCTCAATTGTCTGAGTTTCTGTAGCTTAGCCCACACTTCTGTTTTAGAGGAATAAATGTAAGAATATAGTTTTGGTTTTAAGATTCATCCCCAAATGCTTGGAGATTGCTATTTTGTGCAAGTTACATTCTGCAGTGCTTCTAGTACATACCAAATAATTGAAATACAGAAAAATAAAGTTGTAGAAAACAGTATTTCTAAAAGAAAGGACAATCAATGAGGAAAAAATTCAATTTCCAGGCTATTAGAAGAGTGCTGCAAACAGCAAGGTTGACCATAAAATGAAGAGGACCATAGTCATAGGGCTGACTGGCTCTTTTCTCTTCCTCATGGTCTCTCGTTCTACATTCAAAACTGACCCACTTCCCTTAACAGCTCTTCCCAGCAATGCTCCAGCTTCCTGTATGTCATTTAATTAGTTGAGATAGTGATGAGCTAGGTTTCAGCTGAGTTCCATGGCTTGTGTTTGCTTAAGCCAGATACTGTTTTATTACATGTCTTTACAGTAATTAGATCAGACTACAATCAAATTAATTCTATGTGGAGGTATTAAGACCTGTACAGAAATTGATCTTGGTTCTGTTGAAGTATTCTAGGAGGTTAGTATTAATGATATGTACGTGTCCAGAAGGAAATTAAGCTGTGATATGTATCCATTATCAGACACATAAAGTTTTCCCAAATAAACTGTCATGGCCTTCACCTCACTTTCTCACTTGTGAATTTTTGGGACAGGGGAAAGTCAGAGTGCTAATTGGTTAAACTTGATGTACCATAAAAGCTTGACTGGAATCCTGGATCTAAATTGTTGCAGAGTTTGGAAAAGTTTGTGGCCAAGAAAGCAAATGGCATCCTAGGTTGCATTAGGTAGAGTGTGGTAAGTAGGTCAGAGGAGGTCATCCTCCCCCTCTACTCTGCCCTGGTGAGGCCACATCTGGAATACTGTGTCAAATTCTAGGATCCCTAGTTCATGAAGGACAAGACACTACTGGAAAGAGTCCAACACAGGCCCATTAAGATGATTAGAGGAATCTAGGAGCATCTACAACATGAGGAATGGCTGAGAGAGATGTGTGTCTTTAGCCTGGACAAGACTGGGGGGGGATATCTTCAATGCTTATAAATATCTAAAGGACAGGTGTCAGGAGGATGGGACCAGGCTCTTCTCAGTGAAGAAGAAGGGGAAATTGTACAAACTGGAACACAGGAGTTTCAACATAAACGTAAGGAAAAACTTATTTATTGTTAGGGTAACAGAGCACTGGAGCAGGCTGCCCAGAGAGACTGTGGAGTCTCTGTCTCTGCAGACATCCAAAACCGGTCTGCACATGTTCCTGTGTGATCTGCTGTTCCTATGAGATCCTGCTCTAGCAGAGGGGTTGGACTAGGTAACTCCGGAAGTCCATTGCAATGCCTACCATTCTGTGATGCTATGCATCCATGTTAGCATCTGCCTTTTTTCGTCAGTTATGGAATTGGAGTTAAACTGATGTAGGGAACCTGAACTCCACTAATGCTTACTGCACTGTGTGAGACCTATGGTTTTAGTTTTATATGGAACAAGTACAACATTGACCACTCAAAACTGATGGACTACTGAGTTGTGTGGTCTGAGATCTGAATGTACTCTACAGTTACTTGAGTGATATTGCATGGGACTCCAGAAACACTAAAGGAAATTTAAAAAAATCTTTTAGAATAAAGAAATGTGGAGAAAGGCAAATTACCTCTGTAGCGCAATGTTAAATGCCTTTGTTTTATTCCAGTCCTGTAATTTGGTTTTGATGCATCGCAATTTTTGCATCGACAGGTACTAAATATATGGTATACTTTTGGGGGGTTAGAGAGGTTGAACTGAAAGCTGCCGGAAGATCCACTGAGCTATTGATTTATGTGAAAAAGCTGAATCCAATTCAATCTGTGGATCCTGCAACGGAGGAATATATGTAACTTAGATTCACCAGGCAGTGAAGTAGGAATAATGTTTCTATTCAAATTGCAGGGGTTATATTTAGTTATATATTTAGGGGTTATTTTTAAAAACCTGCTAAAATGCTGAGGTCAGTTTGCTTCCTACCCTTTTATCATATAATGCTGATAGAGAAAACAGTTTCCTTTATTTATGACTTGTTCATGTTTTCCCTTTACCAGTTTCAGGGTCCAATCTCAAGGTGTGCTTGATTTAGAAGTGTTCTAAGACCCAATGTAGAGAGATCAGAAGGAAGATTATGTGTTGATAAAACATTCAACACAATCTGCCAACAGAATCTGAAAAAAAATTTCAAAATTAAAGAATATGTTGCATGTAAAATTGATACATTTTTAGAAAATGGTAATCAACTGCCTACACTGAAAATACATTGTTTCATCACAGAATCATAGATTTGGTGAGGAATAGGTATATTTTGGTGAATTATGGGACTCTGTTTGCAGAATTTGCCATGTTTTCACATTCCAACTAACATCTTCTGTGCTGGTTGTCTGCTCCAGCCTGAATTCTTCTGGGAAACGTAAATGACAGTTGTTCAGCTATTTCTCAGAAGGAGGTCATGAAAATTCAAAGAAAAAAAAAATGTTTTTTCCTCTTAAATTCTCCAAACATTTTGGTTGGAAAGTTTTAGTTCTTTCATACTTTGGATCAAGGACATGAAATTGGCAGACTTGTTACCTTTTGCTCGTTACCTTGCCACCCTGCCTGTGAAAATACACCCAAATATTTCCAAGCTAAGGTTTCTCCAGGCCCTACTGTGCTCAAGTTTAGCAGAGACATTTTCTGTAGCTCCTCTTGGTAGCAATCTTGGTTCTAACCTCCATTAGCAGCATCTAAGTAAGACTTTCTCTGTAATTGTTTTTCCCTTCATTCACAAGGTGCTGAACCTCTCAGACCAGAATCAGAGTAAAGAAGCTGTTAGCAGGTGCTGGTGTGGCTGTTCTTTGAGCCTGGACAAAGGAGGAGAGAAGTGGCAGCTTGGAACACAGGTTTGAAGTTGGGCCTGACAGCTACAACAAAGTGGATGTCAGAGATAGTCAAGGAGGAACACATGAGGAAGAAGATCAAAGAAAAGGTGAGGACAGAAAACCCTATGACTACAAAAGCCTGTTCCTCCAGTCCCTGATTATACTGGGACTTCCAAATCATCCATGTGGCTTTACTGTTACTAAATAGCCATAATGAACAGTCACAAAATGGGTAACTTAGATTCTTCTGGTGGTGAGTTCAGCAACTCTTTGTTTCTCTCACTAAAAAGAACTTCTTTCCTTGATGGTCAAAGGTCTGACACAGCAGTCTAAAGTTTAATTCTGTTGGTGAACTGTAGATTTTGGTGCTGACAGAGATGTTATGCAGGTTCTGGGAGGCAGCACTGCAGGTGTTGGTACACCTGTATGTTCTATTATCTGTTTTTTTCATGGGGAGGGGAGAGGGGTTCAATGTAGGAAGTTGCTGCACACAACACAAAAACTAGATGAAGAATGCAAAGATTGATCATTAAGTTTAAAAAAAAAAAAAGTTAGGAAATTTAAGAATTAAGGTTAGTTGTAACACATGTATCGCACTGTAACACATTGTAACAAATGTATCAAGGCACATCATGATACATGGTCACATAACTTGTTTTTTTCAGCACTTCCCTTCCTGATTCAGCACAGCTTAGTCCAGGAATGTCTGTCAGGGAGGGTGTTACCTGCATAATTCTTAATTCTTTTGAAGCATCAGTTGTTTTCTGCACAGTGAGGAAGAAAGCCAGTGTGAAGATTAAGTAAGGGTCTCCCTCACTCTGCAGAGTGGTGCTAAAAGAATTTGACTCTGACCCTATCTATACGCAAATTCTTCTATGCAATATTAACCACACAAAATAAATAACTTGTATGAACAGTGTGCCCTCCATTTTGTGTAGGTTGAGTTTAAATCTAGGATTTATTCTGGAAAAAGGGCTGACCATTCACATTTTTCACTGAAGATTATGGATATCCTGCTTTGCATAGATAAAATGCTACAAAAGGCAGTTAAAAATAATGGAAAAAAAT